ATTAGGTACTATGTCCTGTACTGGAACACAAAGATGAAGAACATAATACCCTACTCAGGAAGCTTAATTTAGCAGTAAGTATAGTATAATATTGTTACATCTACTAGAGAAGTATAACATAATATGCTATGTGCCACAATGGAATTCTGCACAGTCCATATTAAGAGCCAAAGTACTGTTCCTTTTCCATTCTAGGAGGGGCAAGGAGGATCACAGAAGACCACAAATTAAGACTTTAATGCTTTTTAGAAACATTCTCACAATGAGGCATGCTCTTTTCCTAAAGTATGTTTGTCCATGGTCATTATGGCACTAAGTGGGCAGAGTCTTAAAGAATGTTTCCATCTCCACATGATAACTTCTAAATGTTTGATTCAAAAGTTAAAATGATATTTCATCCTATTTAGTTAAAAAAATTTCTATCTCCAAATACAAACTACTCTTTGCCTTTGAGAATTTTGCCGTCTTCTGGAGACTTCTACACAGTATATCCTGTACCAAAGTGGACCTAAAATGCATCCTTGATTGACTATGTGTCAACCAGGAGACTATTCCATCACCCATACAGAGCCCAACATGTAGTAAACACTCAATAATGAGCATTTATTGAAGGAACAAATGAATGAATGCATGAACTCTCAGTCCCTTACCATCTTGGAAGAGCTTTGGACAAAAGCAAAATAATCGGCATCGTTAATGAATGTAGCTTGTTCTCACTGTTTTTTTATATTTCTTCTGGATCTGACGTGAGCATTTACAAGTCTCATTGTGTTTCTGAAACAAATAACGGATTTCAAAAGAATCCGAGCAGGGCTTGCAAACAACTAAGATTAGTGAAATGTCGTGCTAGTAGAGTACGGCCATGTATGCCGCAAAGCATAGTAATTAAGGGAGTGGACTCTGGACCCCAACGGCTTGGGCTCAGATCAAGGCTCTACCCATTACCAGACATGTGACTTTAAGTAAGTTAGTTCACCTCTTGGTGCCTCAAGCTTTTTGATTATAAAATAAGAATACAACAATGCCTCCTCTTAGGGTTGTTTTAAGGATTAAAGGGATTAAATATTTGAAATACCTTTAAATAGCACCTGTGGATAGCAGGCACTCTATTGGCATTTAATACATCAGCGGTCACTTAGAAGGCAGTTTTCTCAAAGTTGGGGGCCAGTGATAACCGCTCTGTACCTCAGTTGAATTGAATATGGGAGTTCCTCCCCATGGCTTTTTGGAAATTTCAGCCCATCATCATTCAGAATCAATGTGTCTGGTTTTCATTCTAAAGCTGACTTGGTCAAAAGTGGCAGCTACACAGGTGTGTTTCAGAGTTCATGAAACTTCCAGTCAGCACAGGGGAATCCCTCACAGGTTTCAGTCTAGTCCTTAGGCCTCCCAACTCAAGCAATTCAAATATGTCTGTTCTGTGGCCAAAAAGTCGCATAGATCCCCCTCTGTTTTATACATTTTGGTTTATTCCATAGTGATTACATGTCTTCTGTCACTCTGGCTGTTTTTGGTTTGTTGTCTGTATTCAAAGGAGGCCTGTGGTTGTGTCTATCCCAAGCGTCTGTGTTTCGGGTTACGCAGTTTGCCCCTGTCTCTCATCATTGCTTTTGGCTCGGTCTCTTGACAGGAAATGAGAGATTTATTTTATCTGGCTTGAACTACATTGTTCCTTCCTGGCTACTGGTGTTACTTCACTCTAAATAACATGACTTCGTGCTCACAGTCTGCCCAAGGTCAAAGCCTGAGGGTAATAGACACATTTAAGAGCAGGGGAGGAGAATATAACCAGAGGGGAGGAGTGAACCAGGAGAGAATTAAAAAAAAAACAGGAGTGACGCAAAAATTAAACATGCAGCAGGTCTGAATTTTCTGGTGGGCTTGAAATGGAATCTGTTCTGAAGAGCTGAGAGGTGAACTTTTCCCCCTCCTTCCAGATGTTATCTATTTAAAATGACACTATGAAGTAATCTAGGTTTGAAATTCAAATTTAGTTTTAAAAGAAAGCATGAGTTCTCTGGGAGAAGAGTTTACAAAGCTTATTAATATCTGTGATATCATAATTATAGTGTGTTTTCAATCACTTAAGTTGGAATAATTATTGGAATTCAAACATCCCTGTTTGGTTCGACACAAAAATGTAGAATTGTGATAGTGCATACAATTAATTAAGTCAAACTCATCATTAAAAAAAGTTCAACTTAATAAACAATACCTAAGTTTGGAACTTGAAGCCATGAAAAAGGTTTAAAATTTTGTCTGAATTTAAGTATAAACAAGAATATATCTGAACCACATCTCCTAACCTATTCACATTTTTCCTTTCCTTCTCTTTTCTTCCCTTTGGAGGCGTGAATAAAACTTTTTTGGTTTCTTCAAATACCTCTCAGAGTTTCAAAGGGTCAGCAGGCTGACCACCCAAAGACACAGTAAAAGAAAGCATCTCGGTTTCACTGGTCACACCATTTATGCTGGACTGAACCTCTCTGGGACAGTTTAAAAGAGAGAAAGCTGGCTAATCTAGATATATATTTTCCTCTTCTTTTGACAGATTGTCATGTTATTTAATAATACTTTTGCCTCAGGAAAATGGATTTAATGGAAATGGACTTTAAATGAAGCACAAAGGATTTAGGTTACACGAAGGCCAGATTTTGCAGGCAGAAAATGATTTCACATGGGTATTCCATTCTTGGGGAAGATGATGAACTTCCCTTTGCTAAGGATCTTTCAAGGCTCCTATCATTCTATGGGCTGCAAGCGTGGTTTATGCTGAAATCAGGAGGACGTCCCCAATGACATTTTAAATAATTTAGAAGTTTATGCCTGACAACACTTCCTTGAGCAAGCCCTGCTCATCTCTCTGGAACTACATGGACACCACCATTCTGGATCGGCCAAGGGCCTAATGTCTGCAAAACACAAATGATTTGTTTCTTTATCCAAAGTCCTCCCCTTGAAACTCTAACTAGAAATTATTCCTCAGTACCCCTTAAACTTACACAATGTTAAATGTCAATTATATCTCAATTAAAACAAAACAATTATTCCTAAGAATCATATGCCCTTCTCATGTCAATTCCTTATAAGCACCTCTACATGTGGAAGGAGCCCCAAATTCCAAAATGTGGTAGACCCAACTGCATCAGAATTCTAGTAAAGTCTCATTTTTAACACTAAGTTCTTAAAAGTTCCAGCAATGTTTTGTATGCATTGTCTTAATGTTTTATGATTATTAAATTCTAAATACAGTCCTAAAGAGTAAATATAAAAATGTGATTCCTTTCTCTAAGGACCCTGTAAATCAGCCAAGAAGGCCCTCATGTGAATACCTGGATCCTCCCAAAAGCTTTTCCTCAGTTCCATCCTTTCACCTCAGGTACTCAGAAGTAAAAAGCAAAGAATCAAAAGAAGATAGCATTTATTGGAAAGTTACTATGTGATCAGCACTGTGCTAGCTACTTTCTGATACATCACCACATTTCAGGCACACAAACTCCAGGCAAAATTAGTCTTATTATCTTCATTTTACAGATGACAGAATGAAATTTAATATCTGTTAAGTAATATGCCCAAGATCATAGAGTTCAGAAGCGGTGAAATTGGGATCCAGATTTAGGTGTGTATAATTCTATGTCTAATTCTAAAACTCATGTCCATTCACTATTTTAAAATAGGAATTAAAATGCTCAGTTACAGAAATGCCGTGTTTTTAGAGTCCAACTGTGTCCTTCACCTGTACAAAATAAGGAATTACAAACAAAAACAATCCTTGCATTCTTCAAAAGATTAAACACAGAGTTACCAACTGACCCAGTAATTCCACTCGTAGGTGTATATCCAAGAGAAATAAAAGTATATATCCACACAAAAACGTATACCCAAATGTTCATAGCCACAATTCCACGAAAAATAAAACAACTCTGATGTCAATCAACTGATAAATGGATAAATAACATGTGGCATATCCATACAATGGAATTTATTCAGCAATAAAAAGACATGAAGTGCTGACACACAACATGGATGAACTTTGAAAACATTATGCTAAGTGAAAGAAGCCAGGCACAAAAGACTACATCTTATTTTATTCCACTTAATTTAAATGTCCAGAATAGGCAAATTTATAGAGACAGAAAGTAGATTAGTGGTTGCCTATGGTTATGGAGTTGGGGTAAAAATGAGAAGTGACTGTTAATGAGTATTGAATTTCCTCTTGGGGAAATGAAGATGTCCTCAAATTAATTGTGATATTTGCACAATACTGTGATATATGAAAAATAATTGAAATTATACACTTTAAATGGGTGAATTGTAGATTATGTCCAGTACATATTAATAAAGCTCTCATTAAGAAAAATTTTAGTTATGTAAAACCTTTCCGTATCATAAGGAAGAAGTAGGCAGCACATTCCTGATGGAAAAGAGAAACTATTAAGTAAATCTAGCTACTGCAACAGTGAAGAAGAGCTGATTATCTTCTAGCATTTCCCCTCCATACCAGCAAAGCTTTAGTCCACTAGGTCCAGATGGACCTCTGAATCACTGAGAGAGTTCAAAAGATACCCCTCTCTGGCCAAGTATGCTTTGAGACCAAAGCTTGTTGAAAAAGTTAGAACCACAAACTGGTAGTTTCTTTATGCAATGCTAAACCACTTGTTTGACATTTTCCGTCTAAACTGACCAATGATTTGACTATTGTGTAGACAACCACAAAAAACAACTGAAACAGTGGGAAACTATTATTTTAAAAGTACTTTCTGTTTTAGTAACACTTAGAGAGTAGAATTCCCTGATTCTACCGAGATTCAGTTATTCATGTTCCAATGTGAAGTCAGTTGCCCAATTGGCAAATTTGTCAATATAATTTTTTGTCCTGCAACCCATCATTAGATGACAGGAAAACATCATGTTGTGGCAAAGAATCAGTAGGTAGTAATCAAACGTCCCATGATGTTGAATTTCCCAACCCTCTGTAGATTTTTTTTTTTTTTTTTTAGGGAGTATCCTGGAAGTATCAGTGCACAGAAGAGCAGGTTTGGGAAGGACCAGCTCTCTGGAGATAATGACACATTTTATCCTGATCTTCTTTAGTTGTTGATACCTTAAAAGTTACTCCGTTGAAGTTGCTTTCAAATTAAACACCATTGCTACAGTGTTTCTGTTGTGATTGTCGGAGGGAAGTGGAGCCAGTGCAATTTGTCCATGTTTTACAAATCACCATCTGGCAGGGAGATGGCAACATGTGAAATCTTCACAGGACTCTTGTTTTTCTACTATCTGCTGGATAACTAAGGAGATCACCAGACTGCTGGGATGCCTGCCAGATGGTAAGCAGGTATGTTTATGAGTTTAAGATTCTTATTTTCTTTCAATGCTTTCACATGCTGTGGGCGCAGAGGCAGAAAAGTGAAAGGGAAAAAGAACGAGGGAGCGGATAAGTGACTGTGTATGATCATTACAAATGTCTTTGAAGTTTCTTGAAACGTGAATTTTCTAAAGCCTACACTGAATTATTTTCTACCAAGTAGAAAAATCACCAGTCATATGGTCATACGATTTTTAAAAATGCTATGTTTTTCATTTTTGCACAAATAACCAGGTGTATAGTTTCTTCAGTCCTCTTGAGTAGCCACGTATCACTCAGGGCATCATAAGCCTCATTAACAAACATTCGGTGAGCGTATACCCTATGCATGGTACGAGGCTAGCCATTTCAGAGAAATAAAAGTGAAGGTGTGTTTTATTTTATTTCGACTATTCAAATAGACTATGATGGGCAAAGAATACCTACCTAGTAGAGTCATAAAAAACCCTCTAACAATTGAAGATTCACAATGCTGAATCTGGAGAGTAAGTGGTAATCATTAGAGTGGCTTCTGTGAAAAGAAAAGGGCACCCGAAACAGTTTGGACCGATAATAAGTGAAGATCACAAAAGAGGTAGTGTCTCTTATATAGAGAGGTCCAGTTCCTTAAAGCTAGGTTTGAAGGACTGCTCAGCAATATATCAGCAACGTGACCCAAGGCAAGTTTCTGAAAGTCTCCAAGCTTCAGTCAGCTCATCTATAAAAATGGTGATGGGACCGGGCCAGTGGCTGTGTGGTTAAGTTCACACGCTCTGCTTCACTGGCCCAGGGTTTCGCCAGTTTGGATCCTGGGCGTGGACATGGCACCGCTCACCAAGCCATGGTGAGGCGGGGCATCCCACATGCCACAACTAGAAGGACCCACAACCAAAATATACAACTATGTACTGGGGAGCTTTGGGGAGAAGAAGGAAAAGTAAAAAATAAATTAATTAATTAAAAGTAACATACTGAATTTACTCTAAAAAAATGGTGATAACTGCTCTGCCTTTTATGATTGTGGTGAGATTAAAAATATAAAAAAGGCAAATTGTCAAAAACTACATAGTTGCTCAATAAATGAAGCTATTCTCATTATTATTGCTATTTTTGTTACCTGGAGAGGGCCCCTTCTAGGTTAAATCCCTAGATGTATAATTTGCTCACATGAATTATATATATACATTTTATAAAAATATATAAAAACATATAAATGATATATAAATATAAAAATATATATAAAATATATAAATGAGTTATATATATAAATATACACCTAGTCTCATATATTTTTATATTTAGATGCACATAAGGTCTACATGCAGTTGTGCACTTATATGCAAATATGGACAAATACAAGTAGATGTGCATAATAGGAGATATATTCTCCCCAAGCACAGGAAACAAAAATAAATATTTTGACTTAAAGCTCTGTAATTGTATTGAGTAAATACTAATAAAAGTTTCACAGTTTCCTAACATGATACTCTTGGACAATTACTGAACCTATCTGTGTCCTTAGAATGAAGAGAATTTAAAACCCGCTTCATAGGGTTGTATGAACATTAAGTGCGATAATTTCTACATAATCCATTGCACAATGCCTGACAGAGAATAAATGAATAAATGTTTGCTTCCATCCTCTTTCCCTTTAATTATCAATTTTCCTCCCCCTCTAAATTTAGCCTATTTTTGCCCATCCTTACCTCCTTCGCTCAAGCTGAAGGACAGATGTCTCTGCTTCTTTCTTAATTTCATCACTCCTTCCACCAGGATAATTTCTCTCCTTAATTACATGATTCTTCTATTTTTATCATAAATTCCCTGTCATCTACTAGTTCCATCTCCTCAGCCTAAAATATACTCATTTCCCCCATCCTAACAATACTTTTCTTAAAGATAAATTAACAAATGACAGAAGAGATAGAAAGCCTAAATAGGCCAATGATCATAGAAAGAATTGTAAAGATTGTTAAAGATCCAGGTCTAAAAATGCCAGACACAGGTAGATTTTTTTTCTGACCCAGGTAGTTTTACATTGGTTCTAATAAAACTGAGTTTAACACAATGTTTTTTCTGCTTAAACAGTCTCAAAACGTTAAAATGATTAAAAGACTCACAATTCTTTAACAAGTTTAGCACAACCCTAATATCAAGTCATGGCTATGACAATATAGTGAACACACACACACACACAATTATGGACCACACTCACTTAAAGAAGTAAAGTTCTAGCAAGTAGATAGCAAGAGTGAATTAAAGAATAATTCACCATACTCATATGGCATTCATTGCAAGGAGGGAAGGCTGCTTCAATACAAAGATATCTATTTAAGTAATTTTTACACTTAAAATAGTAAACTAGAAGTGAAAATCCACAAGCAAATTGTTAAAAAGACTTTGGGGAAAAGTGTCAACCATTCCAGATTTATTTAATGTAAGTTAGGAAGAGAAGAAAATGACCTTTCAAGGGAGATTGTCACAAATAGCGGTAAAACACATAGTTAGTGGTAAAATAGTCAAGTTATCTTTGGTTGACCCAGCCTCCCTCATTTCTCACTTCCTTTTCCATTTCTCCAGTGACCACCTTAACCTGCATGGTAGGCTGTGTTTACTGCCTCCTCTTACTCATCTCCTGTACGCTTTCCAATTCATTGCAAATGCTTCTGCTCCTACCTGTTTACAAAAGCTTTTTTCTCAGGTGTTACCAATATCCATGTAATCTCCAAGTCCACTGGCCTGTTCTCTAGCCTCATCTTTTTAACCTCTCTGTAGCATTAAAGACTGCCACCCACCAACCTCTCAGCTCTTCGCCTCCTTCAGCTTTGGGAACGCCCCTTGCTTGATTCTCCCGCCTCCTCGCTTGTCCTTTCTGAGCTTCTCACTTGCCCCTTCTTCCTCTACCTGCTCCTCAACATGGGGGATCCCCAGAAATCTACCATCAGCCCCTTTAATTCGTGCGCTATCCAGAGAACGCAGAGCACAGTTAAAAAGGAATGAGAGTACCAGGAAACTATTACTAAAACAAAGTAAATAAAACATTGCGTTAAACAAAAATTTACACATGACTTTCAACTCTTCCAGTTACAGTTTAAGTGAAATAGATTTCTAAAAAAAATATTGCTACATGGACAATCTCCGCCTATATTATCTTTAATATGTTTAATACTACTACGCCAATTTAAAAAATAGTTTCTAATATTTAACTTAATGAATGTCTTTTCTGCTACGATTCGTGTCCTACCTATGTTATTGACATCTATAATTAACCTACTGATTTAAACTCAAAATATTTGGCATTAACTTGATTTTTAACCCTTTCACAACCTATTTAATTTGAAGCTGGTGCTGTTGGAATTATTGGGATGTATCTGAATGTAAATTAGTAGAATTCAGCAATCATTTCTTAAATGCCAGTGACATGTGAAACATTGTTTTTATAGTCATCCTGTAATATGCAAACTTCAACAGGATTTTAAAGAAATGAAATTGACTCACTTCCAAATGTAAAGTAACAACTTTAAGAAAGCGCTGATGTTTAGTCATGTTCGCTCTGAAACACCTTTCTCTAATTTAAGCTAACAGTAAAGGCAAACAAAAATATCAGAAAAAGAAATACACAGGTGCCTTCAAATTCCTCACCACACAGTCATCAATCTCTCAATAAAAGCTCTTCAGTAAACCCGATCATCTTTCTCCATTCTCTCGTCTCCAAATTATTGCCAGATCATTTTCTGCTTCTATGTTCTCCTCCACCACCCCTGTAAAACTTAGAAACCTCTTTTGCACGTGATTATAAAGGAACTAGTTTCAATGCTTTGCTTCTTTTCCTCCCTCTGATATTTGTATCCCTTAATGTTACACCTTTCAGGTAACTCCAGAAGCCAATGCCACTATTCTCCCTCTTATTAGATACACATTCCTCTCAAAGAAAATGTAAATAAAAAACCCAAACTTAGACAACATAAAATAGGGCATTCTTCACTTCACAAAGAGATCTTTAACTTTATAAAAAGTTGCCTACAGAATCCCTCTAAATAGTGATTTTTACCTAGTGCATGAAAAGTGTAAGTCAATGAAATAACATACATTCACACTCAACTTTTCCACAATCATATCAGTTTTGCAAAGTGGGTGGCAACTTGTTCTCATCAGATTCTTCCACTGCAGGCAACATGGAATTGAAAATGAGGCAGAGCTAGACTAAAGAACACGATTCCTTGACTCCAGCTAAGGCATTTCTCTTCTAGAGCAGTAGATTTCAAACTTTTTTAAAGCCATTCAAATATTTCTTCAATAGAAATCTTACAAGATTTAAAGAGATAAAAGAGAGAAAAGTAGCATGGTTATGTCCTTTTCCCTTCCCTTCACCAACTGCCCTCAGGGTCACCTACAAAAATCTACAGCCTTCCTCAGAGCACAGTTTGAAAACAATTGCACCAGACGATCTTCTACTTATTGCTAAAGATTTGGCCACCAAAATCATAATCTCAACATAGAGAGAGTCCCAATATGCCCAGTTGGGAGTTCCTGAGGCATTACCCAGGAACATGCCTCATTCTTTGTTTAAAATGGTACCCAGAACCTGGGTCACACACAACAAATGGTCAATGAAGGTAGCAATAATAATTTTTAAAATAACGAATAGATATAACTCCTTGACACAGGAATGGTTTCCTTTTCCTGTGCCAGTTCTGTCTGTGCCAACTCTAACACACACCCCTTCCAGGAATGGCATTCAGCCATCCTGGCAACCAGAATTAGAGCAAAGAAAATACGAAATTTCTCTTCAAAACATAAGTGGAAAGATGAATGCAAAGCCAAGCAAAAAGTACCCAGATTCAACACACACATTGTTAAATGTCACATAGTAAGACACTTTATGAACATCAAGTGAACGTGGACATGTATAAACTGGGAGACTGAGAATAGGTATGACCTATTAAAAAGGATAAGCCAGTAAAGAAAGTCTAGAAGAACATACAAGTCAGCAGTTACAATTGCTACTTTCCGGAAGTAAGGGGAGTGGAAACTGAGGCAATGGCGAACAGGAATGGGAGAAATATTTTTTGTTCTAAACATTTTTATACTTTTTGAATTCTGAATCAAGTGACTATATTCAAAAAAGCAATTAAATAAACTGAGACTTAAAAAAAAATAAGGATAAAATGATAATTCCAATAGACCATTCTGAATATCTTATTAGCAAGACAATAAACTGTTCTGGTTTGGGGGAAAAAATCAGCAACAGGAGAACGTTTTATGCTAAGAATCTAGATTTAGGCCAGGCAGGCCCATCAGTCAGGAATACCGCTTCTTCTACTTCAGATAACTCCTTCAAGAAAGAGGCTGCCATTCACTGAAGCCAGGGATTCATGCCCTGATTGTCAAAGAGAGAGACAATATGGGAGGTGGTCCCAACAGCCCAACTGACTGAAGGGGGACTTTAAGATCAACAATCCATGGGATTTGGAAAAGAAAGTCAATGTCTTGCCTCAAATGAAAAATCAGAAAGGGAATTTCACAGCTCTCTCTTTGTAACAAAAACGTTGCATGGATCAAAGATAAATTTTTACCATCCTGAGCGGCACATACCCTCTTTTCAGTGCATAGAGTTTTCCCCCTGAGAACCAGGAACAAGATGTGTGTTGTTTGGCAGGTCTTGCTCTGAGCATTTAATCACCAAAACGGTTCTTAGAAGAGAAATGTTAAAATCTGGTAAAAATGAAAAAAGTAAGACTTCTTCCAAAATAGATATTTCAGCCAAATTTCAATATCCTCAAAA